GGGCGCGGGCTGCAATGGGGGGGGGGGTGTGGCCCTGAAACTCTGGATAAGGTCGAACGCCCATGCTTCAATTCTTGGCCGTCCCATCCCTGCACTCTGCCTGTTTCTCATGGCCAGTCGCCAGCAATTTCGCATTCGTTCCACCCGCCCGCGTCCCGATCCGCCGCCCGCCGGCCGTCCCGCCCCGCCCCGGCCCCGTGAGTCATCCGGTGACTCACGCGTGAGCTGCAGCATCTGGTCCTGCTGCCACGTCCCCAGCTGCGGTACAGCACCCGTCACGCACACCACCTGCGGGTGACGTTCAGAGGGGTAGGACCGGCGGGAGGCAGGGCCGGGTGAGCGGTCGGGGGGCGACGACAAGGGGGGAATGGAGCAAGGAGGGGCCATGCAATACGTGACATTTCGAATGATATGGAGGGTGCACAAGTGCTGCATAGGCCGGGATGTTGGCGCTGCCCCATTCGTGTGGGTGTGGGCGACGCAGGCGCTACCGAAGGGACTGCTCGCCAGGCCTGCCGGCGAGTGGCGCCCGCAGATCACCCGCAGATTACACAGGCCCCAGCCCCTTTGAAGACTGCGCCAGTCTGTGGAGGCGCAGCTTGCCCTTTGACCGAAACCGCAAAGGGGACGCCCGCCGCCCCAACTGCACGACTCTGGTCAACGCGGCGGTCAAACTCCCTGGTCAAACGTTTGACCGCGCACCTCGCCGTCCTCCAGCATCAGGTCTTTGACCTTGAACCGCACCACCGCCTCCGCCACCACCGGCACCAGCCGCGGCACGCCCCCCGCCCCGCAGCCGCCGCCGGCGGGCCCCCGCGCGCTGCCGGCGGAGGCGCGGCCGGGGGCGGCCTGCTGCTGCTGCTGCTGCTGCTGCTGCTGCTGCTGCTGCTGCTGCTGCTGCGAGCCGGCGCGCCGCCGCCGGATGACCTGCGCAGTGGCAGGGCCGCAGATGGGGTCTGAGTTGCGTCCTGCCGTCCGAACCACCACCGCCGAGGGCGCAAGCGGCACGCCCCCTTCCCGCTGCCATCGGTGCGCATGATCCGGGCACGAGCAAGCACGCTGTAAAGCTCGTGAACGCAGGGGGCGGCACAAGCACGACAACCCCTGAGCGCGCCCGCACGCACGCGGCGTGCGCGCACAAAAACTTGTGCGAGCGCACTCGCAGGTGCCGCGCGTGCACGACTTGCATGCCCTCGCGGCACACGTTCTCAACCATACTGACGCGGTGCCAAAGCAAAAAGCACCTTTGTGAAGGCGCAAGAGTCCAAAATGGATCCCGGGTAGGAGCGGTCCATCCAGCAGTCCGACAGGTCGATGACGTCACCGTTCTCCAGCTGGGGCGGCAGCACCACGCTGCGGGCCGCCGCGGGCGCGCACGTGCGCGCGCGCGCGCATGGGCGGGGGCGGTTGGCCGCCGTGTTGGGCGTGGCAAGGGGGCGGCGCTCGAGGGGGCATGCGGTCGTGCGGACCTTTTGTTTTCATTCAGCCCTGTTATGCGCAGTATCCACGACATATTCACCCTGCATGCACCGGTGTGCACGCACTCGTCTACGCGCACGCACGCGCGTGTGCGCGCGCACACACACACACACACACACACACACACACACACACACACACATACAAACACACTCACATACACACAGTCACCCACGCGCAGTCATATACACACAAACACACAAGCAACCACAAGCAAACGGCGCCACACGCACAAATGCTGATTTGCACACACACGCAATCACACACACACACACTTACCTGCGTGTGATTATCTCCTCATGCTCCGCCACAAGCCGCCCCTCCCCGTCGCGCCGCACGACGGCATACCTGCGGAAAAATCACATCACAGTCCGCGTGGCAGGCTCCTGCTCACCAACTCAACACCAGCCGCGGCCCGCGCTCGGCTCGAGCCACCTCGCTGCCGGCGCCGCGCTTGCACTCTCTGCCCCGGCTGCCGCCGCCGCTGCGCCCGGCTCCCAGGCACTGCTTCCTCCAATCCCTTGGGCGGCGGGCCCCCGACGAGCAACGAGCGACAAAGGCGAGGGAAAAAGCCCAAAGCCCCTCGGCAAGACGTGTAGCTCCCGCTCCGCGCCCACTCTCGCCTGTATTTGTATTCAGGCTGCCACGGCAGGCTGACCAGCGCCTCCCAAATCAGATCGTCCCGCTCGTGGCGGCACGACAGCTCGACGCCGCGGGAGAAGTCCATGTTGCCCAGCAGCGCGCCTGGCCGGGCGGGGGGGCACGGGGCCAAGGGGGGGGGGTGTCAGCTGCGGGGGCGTGGCGCCGGGGAGGGGCCAAGCGGGCACACTGCGACTCCTTCGCTTGTCGGATTGCGGCCCCCCCGCACCGCGGGCGCCGCGAGGCTGCGCCGCGCTGCGTGCGTCTGCTCGAGAGCCGGCGCCCGCCGTCGCCGCCGCCGCCGCCGGCAGGAGGCCGGCCGCTCACCCGTCCCCGCCAGCGCGATGCTCTGGCCCCATTTTGTGTGGTACGACACCCGGAAATGCAGATGGATGCGCCGCTCCTTATCCAAGGAGGCCGGCGGGGCCCTGCGGGTTTGGGGGCGCGCGGGCGGCGGCGGGGCGGCCGCGGCGGGCCGCCGCGAGGGGAGGAGGCGGGCGGGGCGTCGTGGCGCGCGAGCACGAACCGGGCTGTTGCGCGCACGCGGCGGCGCGGGGGGTCGCGGGCGATTGGATGTGGCCGGCCGCCGCTGGAGGGCGGGAGGGGGGC